TCTCTGAGCTGTAGCTAAAGACATCTTGAATCAGTGGAATTCTAAAGGATGACAGTGGACGATCCTGAACTCAACCAGCCAAGCACAAATTGCAGCTGCTGTTCCCAACGTGGGATCTTCGCTAGAGCACATTAAAAGGCATGCACTGAGATGGTTAATGTTTTCTTTTCTACCCTCTCAGAAGGAAGTACCACCAGTTCCCATTCACACTGGGCAGACAAGAGTATACATTTAGAGTCTCGCCCCAGGGCAATAGTAACTCTCCCACCCTCTGACAGAATATTTCCTGAAAGGATGTGAACTTTCTGGACACCACTCAAAACAAAACACTGGACCACTATATCAATAACATTGTGTTAATCAGACCTAGTGAACAAGAAATGGAAGTACATTAAAGACCTTGGTTCGATGTGTGCCCTCCAGGGGGTAGAAACAAACCCTGTGAAGATTCTGGGGCCTGACACATTAATGAAATATCTGCAGCATGATGAAATGCTGACTGCAAAGTAGGTTGATATCTGGCATCTCTCATCTCTTAAAAAGAAAGGGCAATGCCAGGGAGACACCTTTGGATTCTGGAGTAAGAAAATTCTACACTTGAAAATGCTGCTCCGATCCATTTACAAGTGACATGGAAGGCTGCCAACTATGAGTCTAGATTTCAGATTTTGGAGGCATATCTCTTCAGAAGCTGAACTTTTAGATGTGGGAAATTCGAGAGAAGGAGGCATGTCTATACTCCAGTAGGACCTCTCAAAAGTGAATATTTGTTGTTACTTAAGCTCTCTGGTTAATTGCCTCAATAGTTAACTTAAATTATTTTATAGTTTGCATAAGTTCACTCAATCTTCTTGGTTCTCAAAATCTGAGTTGATGATGATGATGACAACAATGATGACGATGATGATAATTTTTGTAAGCATCAGCAGAAAATCCGCCTTCTCTCATTACTTCTCTGTGGTAGGCAGAATTCTAAGATAGTCCCCAGGATCCCTCCCCCTAGTGTATAAGCCCTGTGTTGCCCCTCCCCTTGAGTGTGGGCAGCACCTGTGAATGTGATGGCATTGTCACGCTCATGACTACACTGTGTTATATAAGACACCTCATGCATATTAGAGGGGACCCTCTTGCTGGCCTTGCAGAAGCATACTGCCATGTTGTGGCAGGGAACTGGTAGTTGGCCTTTAGGAGCCAAGGACCTCCTATCACACAACCAGGAGGGAATGAATTCTCTCAACCAGTGAGCTTGGAAGAGGACCCTGAGCCTCAGATGAGAACACAACCCTGACCAACACCTTGATTTCATTCTGAGGAGACACTGAGCAGAAGACTTGCTAACCTGTATCCAGAATCCTGACCCACAGAAACTACGAAATAGTAAATGCACCCATGTCTTTAAGTCACCAATGTTATGATGCTTTATTAGGAGGCACAGGCAACTACCATATTTCCCCATGTATAAGACACTCCCTTGTATAAGACGCACCTTAATTTTGGGGCCTGAAATTTGAAAAAAAAATGTATTACATAAAGTTATTGAACTCAAGTTTTAGTCATCATAAAATTCATACGACTCCTCACCACTGTCAAAACTCCCAACCATTAGCTTGTCCTCATCTGTGTCTGATGGCGAATCACTGTCTTCATATATTGCCTCGTCCTCGGTTCCATCTATGGCATTTGAAATGCCACACTTCTTAAATGACTTGACAACGATCTACAACCACTGTATAAGACGCACCCAGTTTTTAGACCCCACATTTTTTGGAAAAGGGTGCGTCTTATACATGGGGAAATATGGTAATATAATTCCTTTAGCCGGGGGTTCCTCCACCTTCTCCATCACCAAGACATCAAGTGTCTATTCTTGGGTCATCCATCAAGTTTTTTTCCCAGATGATGGCTTTAACAATATGCTTTGAATAAATATTGCTGTTTCTTAACATTACAAGAACATAAAAATTGAAATAATGTTAAGAACCTAGAAAAGCAGATTGTCAATATTTAAATATGGATAACACATTGTGTCCTTATTTATGTTCTCCCAGACATATCATTTAAATTATTGAAATGTTTTTCAATAAACTCCTGAAATTTCATAATACTTGTTATTTGGGCTTTATAAGAGAGACATTGCTTTTTCTTTTCCAAAATGCATTCTTGGGTTGCCTTTATAAAAATACCGTTATTGGGGGTGCATGTTGGGGAATACCCTTACCTGCACAACGGGTACCAAAACAATATTGTGATAGATCATAGGAGCAAGGAGACCATAACACTGAGTCACAGCTTGAAGGGCATAACTGGAATCATTTAGGTAGTTGCTAAGTTCCAAAGCCACCAATACTCTTTCACATTCAATTAGTCTAGCAATCTGTAAAAAAATAGGTATTATTACTTCAATTGAACATCAGGTGCTTAACTAATGTGTCTCTAAGGGGGAAAAAAAAAGGGTGGGAAATGTGATCCTATGGCTTGACAACAACATGAATGTTGGTGTGAAGAAAATCTAAATTCAGGAACAACTCTAAGCCCTGTATAATAATGCTACATATGGATAACACAATCTTAGAATTAAACTTCAGAACTTTTTGTAAAACAATACAAATACTACCAGTAACAGAAAAAAACCCCAATCTTTTTTATTAGAGTCTTGGCTATATTTTAATGTCAGAAAAAAATCTAGCTTTTCAAAAACAAAGATTATAACAAATAATAATTAAAATATAATGTCTCTGTAATATTGCCCCATTTGACTAACAGAGTCCCATTTCTCTTCTGGATTTATGAGAAAAATAAAACTCAGTAGACCAAACTAGTCTTCTTTTATAATTACCCTACTTCAGGAAAAATGATAGTAAAATGTAAAGCTAGGCTTTTGTAATTCAGTGCCACTTAAAAAGAATAAGAAGGCTATGTTGCTCCTCCTTTCCTTTTCCGGGGGAAAGGTTTCATGCTTTTTCTACATTACTAGAATGGTAGTCTAGCATTCTGGAAATCATTGAAGTACTTCAGGATTCTCTGTATTTTCAGACTAGATGCTGAAAGAAGGAATTGAATGCAATGCGGTAGGAACAGGGTCATGGTGGTGAGTGCTTGGGCTCCACAAGACTGAACTCATCTTCGGCAAAGAGTTATGTTTTTTTCACTTTCATATCCACAGAAACTAGCACAGTCTCATGTAACAATTTATTGGTTAACTAATTAATGAATAAATAGATGGGTAGGAGAAAGCACCTTCCAAAACAAAAAAAAAAGGAAAAAAAAAAAACAGGACAAAAGTCTCCATATATCTAAGATGAATAAAGAAGGACAGAGAGAAGAGTAACCTCAATTGAAAATGAAACAAATGTAGCATTGTTATTAAAAACAAGAGAATTATAAGGTTGTGGATGTGCCCAAAGCAATGTTTACAAGCACTGAGAATCTATCAAGAGGAAATAAGTTAAATCCTTGCCTCTGTGCAGCAATGCAATGTTTTAAGTAAAAAGAATTTGGTAAATTGACAAGTACCAGCATGAAAATATATCCAAGATATATTATAAAAAAGTGTTTAAAACTCAAGTTGCAGAACAGCAAATACATCATAATCCCATTTTTTAAAAAACTAATAATAATAATAACAGACTTGTCTATACATATTTTTAAAAATGAGAGGAATCACATGAGAACAAAAACAGTATTCTTAAGGACAATAGGATTATAATGGGTTTCACTTTATGTATTATACATTTTTGAATATTTGAAATCTATACTACTTTTGTATGGGGGGAAAAAAGATAAATTGAAAAAAAAAGGAGAAAAATGAACTCAGAGCTGTGAATCCTATATGGAATATCAAATAAACCAGCACCATCATACAATGGCCTCTTAGTCCGTTCACAAGCCAGGATGTGCATTCCCAAAATAACAAAAAACACCGAAAAACAGATAAAGGAAAATTGGCACATTTTCAGTCATTTTAATTCACTTACTTGTTGAGAGGGGAAAATTTCATTGCCTTTAATATTGTCACAAAAAAGATTTTCTTCTTTAATTTTAATGTCACTTGTTACAAAAATATTTCTAAGAAATAGGTATAAGAGAATTGAAGAAGTCTCTGCCAAAATATCTGAATGTAATCTGCAAAAGGAAGTTAAGTGACATTACAGGTTTAAACAAAAAATGATTTAGCATGTGAACTTGCCTTTTTAGATTGATTTTTCATAGTATCTACACAATGATCCCAAGACTGCAGCAAAAATTTGTGGAACAGCTATTCTTGTACAGTGTTTAAGTTAAAATTCAAGACTATCCTTAACAACAAGTTCACAAGTATGGAAATTAAGCTGCTGACATATTATGTCATAGAGACATAAAAATAACTGTTGTCAAAGTTTTCTGGTTCTAATACATAAAGTTTTTCTATCAATATAATGAAATCACTCTAGATAGTCAGAAGCTTGGGAAATAGGCCCAGTATTTCAATTAATAAACTTTCTGAAAATGAGGGTCATTTATAGCAGAATCAGCCATGTTGAAAAAGAGAGAGAGTGAGAGAGCGAGAGAGCGAGAGAGAGAGAGAGAGAGAGAAGAAAAACCGATTGACTTAACTTTGGGGTTTTTTATTATCATTTCTAAATTGCAGTCAACAGTGGCAACCATTGGCAAAATGTGAGATCTGCAGTCTTCCTTGTTTCTAATATTCTCTTCCTCACCCTTAGCATTACATGGTGACAAACCCTCCCTTCTAAGCTTTAGGTCCATCTACTTCCATATCTCCTATTTCTATAAAACAAGAAAGAATCTGACATCAGTAATTCACCTGGAGATCATGTTTTGCCACCTTGTTAGACTCTGAAATTACCTGTCAGGGGCATCTTAGTTCTCCCGCTCCGGCAACTCATACTACACTTTCGCTTTGTCCTCGTGCTGAGCACCAGCACCTTGACACGTGCAGTGAGTCCTGGCGATCACCTCCCTCCTGGCTCCATTTCCTCCCCTCCCCAGCTCAGACTCTGGTAGTCATTTCAATAGTGACCTCTCTAGTACTTTAGATTCTGCACCCCTTATTTTTGGCAATGATCAATTTGCCTGACCTTGCATAGATGTCACTGTCCAATTTTTCTATCCCTGCCACAATGCTCAATCGTGTATTCACTTATTCTTTCTCATTCATTCTTTTTTTCATTCAAACTATCATTTTCTGAATACCTACTACATCCGAGACAACTATTGTAGGACCTGGGATATAAGGATGAATGGAATGTGACTTTCAGCCTCAAGAACTGGGCTCGACTACAATTCATGTTATGTGGCATCCACTGAGTCATTAGAGCTTCGCAGCGACACCCCCGTTTATCCCTAACGTCTCCTTCTTCACACTCCCCACGGCCAGCGTTCTAACCCCTGCTCTCCACCCCATGTGCTCCTCTACCCCCCGGCTCTACCGCCACAGTGTCATCATCACCTGCATTTCCTCGCATCCTCAGTCTCTCCCTCTGCACCTTCCCAAACTCTCTCCTTAAGCCTGCCTTCCCCCTCAAGCTTCTTCCGACTTTCCTCCTCTCTCCCACCAAACTTCACAACAGCAGTCTTTGCTTGTTAAAATTCTCCATTTTCATTATTCCTTAGCCAATTGCAAAAGGTTTCTGTCCCATCATGCCACAAAAATGATTCTCTTGAACTCACCAATGGCCTCCTAATTGCCATCTCCAAAAGCCTCTTCTTAGTCCTCATCCCACCCAACCTCTCTGTAGTGTTGTATTGAGCAACTGCTCTACCTGACCTTGTACTAGTGTTCCATACTGCTGGCCAGTCCCTCCGTGGTGATACTCACTTCCCTTAGCAGTGCACTTTCCCACACTTTCACCTCCGGGACGGCTCCTTTTCAATAGCCTTCCTCGGTTCCATCCCCCGCTTCTGTCTCTTAAATGTAAGCAATGCCCAGGTTCAAATTCCAACCTTCTATCTTTTCTGCTGAACAGTCATTCCCTCGGAGATATCACTCATTGTCAAAATTTCAATCATCATCTCAGCGGAAAGTTTCTAAATCTGTATCTCTAGCCTTGACCTCTCCTGAGTTGTCAGCACTAAATAACCAACTACCGCATGGACATCTCCTATCGACCAAGACGTCCTACTGGAAAACTAAACTCAAAATACCCCCAATCAAATTCATTATCTTCCTCCAAAAACTTGCTCCACCTCTCATGCTCCCTTAGTAAATGTCAAAGGCTTGCCAGTCAGGTAACCCTGGAAATCCCAACCAACTTTCACTCCTTCCTCTCTCTCATCCTCACAAATCATATAAAATCTTCCAAGTATAATCTCTTTCTCCTCTAAAATGTCTCTCAAATCCATCTCCCATAGCACCGAGCATCCTTGTACATGGAAACACTAACTCTACATTTTTTAATTGAATAGAATTATACCTTTCTGTAAATAAGCATTATCAATGTCTTTCCTCAACCAGTATTTGCATTTTAAGCTCATTATCTTTGATTGAGGAGTGAAGGGTTTTATCTTCTTACTAAATAAATTTTAGACATTAACAAGCAGGTAAAGGAGATTGTTGTTTTTGAGCTTGTTAAGGAAGCCTGAAATCACACTAATGCTCATTTCTAAACCCGCTTTTAAGCTTTGTTCTTTTAAGAAAAATGCCAGTAAAGCAAATGATGGCCTGTGGCAGCTTCTACCGATCTATTTGCAATTGCTGATGGTCTGATCCTGGGAGCATCTTCAAGCAAAAAAAACGTCTTTTTACCCCAACAGTCCACCCATCAGACCCTAACCTTAACCTGAACCTGAACGTTCTCTGTTACAAAACTTCCTAAAGATATTTGTGTTTTCTAGTATAACTGACATTACATTGGTTAGTATTTTGTATTTCTTTCCATAACATTCATGAACTTATATTCAGAATGCATCCATATGACTCTAGTATTTTTTCTGATTCTAACAAAGAAGTCTCTAACAAGGACTCAAGACCTTTAAATGTATATGCTTATCAAAATACTGACTGGAAATAGTTTCATACGGACAATCTTAACATGAAATTGAAAACAAACTAATTCTAGGCTTCCCACCCAAAATTTAATTTCAAAAAGCAAATTAATATTTGAAAAGAACATTTCTAATTACCTTCTCTGTGTAATAGTCATTATGTTGCTTAAACAAATAGCAGATTGTTCGCTGTGAGGTGGTGAGGCAACAAAATAATCCCAGATGGGTGAGAAAACTTTCTTAGCCAACTCATAGTTGCCAATCTGATAGGCCACCTACAACAGAAAGCATGTTATCTTATGTGATATTTTTATTTGTAAAATTAACATTTTATACAACAATTCTGATGAGGTCCTATCACACACTAATTTCATATACAGTTCTTCACACTTGCTGTTCTGTCCTGCAGCGCCCCAGTAAGATAATGATGGCCACTGGCAAGGGAGACAGACATTTTGAAATCTCCTTTATTTCTAAATTGCATGGAAATTTGAAACTCTGTAAGGATGTTTCAAATTCTCATAAGCAAAACAAAGATCACATCTGAGCCAAATTAATTTCATTTCCATCTATCTCGGCAGCACACTCCATTTATTATAGACACTGTTGTAATGAACAATCTGTTCCAAGAGAAACAATCAGATTTCCCAAACCCAAAATATGAAATAGATTTCATTCTTTCTTGGTTTTGACTGACACTTTCGGAGCTTCTGTGCAACAAAGGGTTCACAGCTGAAAAGAGTGAAGAATAAAACAGAGATGCTTCCAAGAAGCCATGATATGTTTTAAGTTTAACACATTCAACATTAGGCAAAATAACTCATTTCACAGGTGAAACCTAAAAAAAAAAAATAACATCAACTTACCTGTTTCTTTTGGTAGAATATATTTCTTTAAAGATTATTTCTATAAATCATTCTATTTAAATATGTATAACAATATGAAATCCCACCACAAGTTACATGCTGCTTCAAATCCTTAATGGAAGCAAGTATATCAAGTATAAATAAATTCATTGAATCAAGTATGTAAATGACATATGGCTAGAATATATTCTACTCAAGGGAATAACTTACAAAGCCAGAATTTTTTCAATCTTCTAGGTCAGCATTCACAATCAACCAACACATAAACTTTTATGAAGTTTATACTATGTGTTAAGCACCATAAAAATAGATTCTTCAAAGCTTAAAATGGTTTCGTACTCCATGAAACTATAATCAAGTTATAGACATAAAACACATGAAACCACAGAAAAACAGCAAAGAATGACATGATAATTGTGGAGGCTTAGAAAAGGAGAAATAAAGACTTTAAGGAGGAGGAAGGCTTGAGTTGAACCTGAAGACAGAGATAAGATTCAGATGGGCAGAGTTTAGACAGAATATGATCCAGTAATAGAAACCACCACAGTGCAGTTAGGAGAGACTAGAAAGGCCAGAATTTTAAGAAAAGCAGACAATATGATTGGACAGGTAAAGCAGGACATGATTTCAAAAGGTTTTGAAAATCAGGTGGAAGTATTTAAAGATATCAAGTACTGAAGTAAGCACTTAATGTGCATTATTGTATTGATGCCTCATGACAGCTCCATTAAGTAAGCTCTATTACCATCCCTGTTTTTCAGATGAGTACACTGGGGCATTGAGAAGTTCAATAATTTGTACAGAGCCTGACATGCAGTAAAAATAGTGGCGCTGAGACAGAGTAGAAACGGAGTCACTTCTCTGGACTGCATTGGTCAAACAAAGGAGTTGGACTAAGTGGTCACTAAAACACCATCTATTTCTAAGATTTCCATGGGAAATAATAACAGATGATGTGTAAGGGTGTTAGTGAAACTATAATTGAATATTCTATCCTTTTAAAGAAAATATATATTCTTTTTAAAATAATGTTAGTCAATTAGTGAAACAAGAAAATATGCCCTGATAAAACTAGGGTTTATAAAACCATGAGTCTTTGTGTGTTATGATATCATCATGTTCAAAGATGGTTAACCAGTAGTGATGTGCAGAGTAGTATTCAGAGGTGGGGAGGTTACAATGAGAAGGAAGCACTCAAAGACTAATGATATAAATAAGTAGAGACTTTGATATATGACCTTCACTTGGCTTCCAGAACTCCACATTCTTGGTTTCCTTTTCACTTCAAAGATCACATTCCTTTTCAGCTGCCTTTGCAAGCTCCTCCTCTTTACCCCAATCTCTTTATATTGGCATGCCCTTGAACCTCTCCTCTTTTTGGTCTACACTTATTTCCTTGGTGATACATCCAGCTCCATGACTTTGTCACATGACTACTCTCAAATCCCTCTTCTGCTCAGACCTCTCTCCCAAACTCCAGATTCACACATTTAACTACTCAACAATTCTTTCTGAATACCTAATATATCTAATATTGAATAAGTATCTAATAATATCTAATAATATCTTACCTCAGCATGTCCAAAACTACTTTCTGATCTCCTCCTGCCCCAATGTATACCACCTACAGCCTTTCCCACTAAGTTAATGTCAACTCTACCCTTCTGGTTGGTCAGTTAAATATCTTAATCGTCTTTTCTTCTCTTTACATTAATTCCATCAGAAATTCTTGTTAACTCCTCCTTCTAAACATATCCAGAATCTGAACGCTGCTCACCACATAAATCACTATCCCTCTGGCCAAGCCACCTTCATCTCTTATTGGATTACAACAATAGAGAGGTCCCTCTGTTTCCACCCATACCCCCTTATGGTCTCTTTCCAACAGAGCAGTCAGGGTTAGCCTTTGAAAATACAAGTCATATTATATCATGCCACTACTCAAAATCTTCAAGTCGTTGCCCGTTTCACTCAAGATAAAAGCTCATGATCTTACAATGGCCTACAAAGTCTTTTCATGACCTGCTCCCCCACTTAGCCACTCAACTTTACCTCCCAGACCATTCCTTTAACTTTCCATGGGTCCCTCGGCTCTAGCCATACTGGCCTCCTTGCTGTTTATAAGACATACCAGGTGCACTTCTGGAAATCTTAGGGCTTTTGTTCTAGCTCCTCCTGCAGAATGCTCTTCCTCCAAGAGTCTTTCCCTCACCTCTTTCAAGTCTCTGCTCAAATATCACCTTCTAGATGAGGTCTTCCTTGATCATCCTATTTAGTACTGTCTTTAATCCTATTTAAACAACCTTCCATTCCCCCACTTCACATTTCCAATTCCTTTTACCATACCCTTTTTCTTTCCATAGAACTTACCTTCTAATATATTAGATGACATTTATTTGTCATGTTCGTTGTTTATTACTATCTCCCACCCTGACATTTTGTTCACTTTGCTTAGAACAGTGGTTCTCAAAGTATGGTTCCATCAGCAGCAGCAGCATCTCCAAGGAACTTGTTAGAAATGCAAATTAGGCCCCACCCCCAGACCTAGCAAATCACAAACTCTGGTGGTAGGACCCAGCAATCTGGTTAAACTAGCACTCTAGATCACTCTGAGACATGCTCAAGTTTTGAATCACTACCCCTGGCACAGAGTAAGCACTCAATAATAACATGTTAAAAGAATTAGTAATGTGACAAATGAATCTTTTCCTAATAATTTCCCTCTACCCACAGAAGAGGATACCCAGAGGCTGTGCCATACTACAACTCGATCGACTGGCCCAGGGTGACTGTCTGACCTAAGCTGAGTATTTTATAGCCCCCACTTCAAAGCAAGATGGATCACCACCCAAAGTTTGGTTCTGATGTCAAAATGGTGAGACGGTGATGCACTTGGAGAATTTGAGAGACAGTTTATTACTCACACAAGAGACTCCTAGGAAGAATTCGGCAGGCACAGCAGGTCTGGGCTGGCTTGGACAAGACAGAGGAATGGGATGGGCCTTGATTGGTGGCTGGGGGGTAGAAATAAGTAAAGTTCCTGTCGGCTGGGAGGTTTAAATTTCCTGCTGGCACCAAAGGAGAACCCATAGACCTCCCTAGCTGCCTAAATATGCTGCCAAAGGGAAAAAAAGGGGGGGTGAGGCTTAAAACCAAGTCAGAGGTCAAACATCAAAACTGAGGTCAGACTCTTTATTATACCATTAGGTGGGCCAATCAGAGTCTCTTTCTAGAAATTTGGAATCAAGATTAGGAGCCAGCTAGCTGTTCTCTGTTTATAGCTGAAACTGAGGGATACATAAAATTTCAGAAGCTGCCAGTTTTCCTCCACAGATGGAGAGGTAAAGAAACCCAATCTTCAGAGAAAGAAAAGGAAAGCAGGTATATAGAGAGAACCAAAGGTATGAGGCCTCGAAGTGCCTGGACCCTGCAGCTCTCCCAGGGCCTAGCTGCATTGCCCTAGGCCAGGCTGGGTCCCTTGCCTGCAACTAGTCTTAACTGAAATGGGTCACTGTTACGGTAACGAGATTGACTAAAAAAAAAGTTCAAAGGAAGAAGAGATGACATCTCACCTAGAACCCGGCACAAAGTAAACACTGAATAAATAATTCATCAATAAATAGATGAGTACAGAGAGTAGTAATATTCACTTAAAGGATAAGAGAGAAAAGGAGAGTTGAAACTTCTTAAAAAGCTTTAAAAATGGGGATGACTATCTTTTTTTTTACCTGATAGCTTTTTCTTTTATTATTTGAATGGTCATAAGCAAAAGGCAAACCTCCATTAATCAGAGTTTCAATGAATTCATATGTGAAGTGGGGAAAAAAATATAGAACTACATTTGCCTTTCTCCTGCCATCACTGTGATGACTAACAAAGCATTCATGTGCTAGCATCAAATTCTATTGCCAACATTGATCATCAAGACCTGCTGAGCACCACCAAACCCAGGCAGAGAAAAGACGGGAGAGATGTGGGTTCTAGAAGAACTTGGCACATGTTAGATGCCGATCACATGAATTCCTTGGAACCAGGACAGAGCAATAGAAAGCCAGGAGCTGGTTCAAGTGTCAGGCTTGCCATCTGCTACCCAAGTAACCTTGAGTAAATTACTTAACCTCCCTGAGACATCTTTCTGGAATAAAATGGGACTGGCAGAAAAAAAAAATTAAATTAGTGTCAGTCTCCTCAACTATAAAATTAAAGTGATAATACCATTTCATAGAGTTGTTGTAACAAATGGGATAATGAATTTTTTAATGCCTGTTACACAATAGTTTCATTTTAATAAATGATATTTCCCACTTCCTTTTCTCAACAAGCCACTGTCCCCACTCATTATTTGATTTAGTAGTTTAATAATCCAGCATTATATAATATTTTGTTGTATATCCATTTTACAGACAGGGCAATTGAGATCAAGCAGTTTGCCTATAATCCTAAAATCCTGCTCACAGATTTCTAATTTCTACATTTTATATCTCATTATCTAGCCATTCCAAACTTAAAGGGGAAGAATAAAAAGAAATGAGGCTATATAGAGGGGGAAGATTGGAAAACATCCACAGAAAACATATCATTCATAAAGGTTCCTCAAAAAATTTTTCAGATAGCCTAAATTCCACTTTAAGGGAAAATCTAGTGAAAATTCACCTGACTTTATTAATGTCTATAGAATAATGTTGAGAAGAAGCACAACCTAGAGTCCCAAGCCAAGTTCATCATAGAATCTAGTGAAATATTTATGATCATGTTTTTTAGAGAACAAAATTATGCTGCAACTAAAAAACTAACCATTCTTATGAAAAATACTGTAATTCCAAAAGAAAGGTATATTTTCTTGTTGGAACATAAAAGCTTAAATTTTTGTAAATTAAGGCGATTGAGAAAATTTTGCTTGAGCCACTTAACATTATGAGACAGAATGCTCATAAACAGTCATAAATGTACTACGGCACTGCAAACATAGTATCAATAAAGACACACAGGTCATTACTTTATGACACTTCTCATTATCCCAGCAGTATAGCTGGGACTTAGTTTTATTAACTTTCAATGCAAGTTCTGCCAAATGAAGCCCAAGAGTCAAACCTCTCCCTGGAGAAAAATTAGGCCTTGATGAAATATTCTGTTCCTCAGTTTAAAATAACTCCATCACTGCAAATTAGAGAATATATTAGATTCCAAAGAAATCAAAACATCGGACAATCATGAGCCAATATGACATGCTAAACCAATGCTAGACAAGTCCTAGCAATTCTCTGAATTTAGTTTTCTTTGAAAAATATGATAATATAAAAATCCATTAAAATCTTAGCTCATAATACTAATCAACTATTAAGAGAAAATAGCACAATAGAAATGTAATAAAATGTAGAATAGCCATCAGCTCTACAGTCAACAATAGGCTTAAAATTAGATGCTTGAGGTCCATGAGTCACTCTTCCTAGTGTCCTATTCACTGGTGACATGCTTCAAGTCAGACAATCATTTCAGCAAAAATTTTAATTCATAAGTATATCCATAACTAAAAACAAGAATAATATTTATCAAGTGCCTACTGTGTTCTATGTTAGACATTTTTATTTATTAAGTGCCTATTGTATGCTATGTTAAATATCTGACATGAATAATTCCATCTAATACTAATAGTTCTGGGAGGTAGCTCCTACTATTATATTATTCCTACTTCACAGATGAAGGTTACTTTCCAATATCATGTGGCTGGTATAAGGAACTGGAATTTGAACTCAGGTTTTTCTGTCTCTATTAACCCAGAAATTTCACTTCTATAAATTTATCCAAAGAAAGAAATCAGGGATGTAAGCAAAGATTTATAAACAAAGATGTGCATCACAGCTTTGTTTATAATAGCAAAGGGCTGAAAAGTATCTAAATATGCCAAACAATAGAGAATTACTAAATAAACCATGATCTCTCTATAAGATGGATAATACCAGGCAACAGGTAAAAATTATGTTTTGGAATAATATTTAATGGAATGGAAGAAATGTCAGGTATGCATTAAATGAAAATATCAGGATGCAAAATAATATGTATACTGTGATTAAAATTACATGTAAATAATTTCATACATGTATGTATACATGTAAACACATACACACACACAAATGAAAGAATATCTCTGAAATCAGGGTTTCTTAACCTTGGCACTATTGACATCTTGGACTAGATAATCTTTGTTATGGGTGGCTGTCCTTTGCATTGTAGGGTACTTATCAGCATCACTGGCTTCTACCCACCCAGTAGATGCCAGTAGCACCACTCTAGATTGTGACAACCAAAAAAGTCTCCAAACACTGACAAATGTCCCCTGGAGACCAAAACTTCCCAGGTTAAAAACTGCTACACAGGATAATAGGATAACAGTTAACATTCATTTTCTGCTTTGTGCATTTCAGTATTTTCCAAAATATCTAAAATTAACGCGTGTTACATTTATGATCCAGGAAAAAATGTTATTGTAAAAAGCAAACTCACTAATAAGAGAAGGAATGGTTCCTATTTTTTAAAAATAAATTGCAATAATGGAAAACATGTATTATAGGAACTTTAGAATATCTGCTGTGATTTTTTTTTCCTTCAGAAATTACTTAGTAACTGCTCAATGGAAAAACACATGGAGAAAAAATTAGCAGAAATATCTACCTGTGTCAGGAACATCCGAGCGGTAACAGCAGAAAGAGGTGGATAAATCAGAATTGGTTTAGTTGTCTCCCCAATAGCATCACCAAGAAGCTTCCCATCAGCAGAATAAGCAGCAACTGCAAAAATGTATTTTTCATTGGTTTCTAAACCTTTCACTTCGAAAATGCTTTTACCATCAGCTGGTATCTATTAACAAAAATATATTTCAAGTTATGTATGGAAAATTAAAGTAATGTGACTTTAAAAATATAATTAATTAAACCTTATATGTTAAAAATACTTTCATTTGCTGTTAGTTTTTACTTATGACTCAAGTTGAAAGTAGAGAAATTCACTGAAATAATGACTTCATAAGGGGAAAAAACAATTAATGAGAACTTTGGTAAAATTTCCTGACATTTAAAGTTGTTGATTGTTTTTTTTTTTTAATTTGACATACCGCCTCTCCTGAGCTTGGGAGATGATTATTGTTTAGTCTTACTTTTCCATAGCTCCCTTCTGCTTTGCAACCCAAAATGCAGTACCA